CAGTCATAACTAGTTAGTTACAGTCCTACCCCGGGGTGCGCCCAAACACCCCCCCAAAACCCCCCTAATATTCAAACCGAACCGCCGAATTCCAGTTTTAATATTAGGGAGGGGGGGGGGCCCTTTAATAATAGGGGGAAACGATTACATACATACATACATACATACATACATACATACATACATTTTACACACGTTACGACATTCCCGCCAGCATCCTCCGGGCTAGGTTTGCTTCGCTCTCAATCTTGGCGTTCCCTTGCCGCTGCAGAGGCGGAGGAAAGCCAGCCGCATTCTGTTTTCTTCTGGATTCATCAGGGCTTACCCGTAGGCCCCATAGTAGTTCCTTTTTGGGATTAACTTTTCGGATTTTAAATATGAACCCCAAAAGGAACTACTTTAAGGAGGAAGTCATTCAATGCCGCTTAAGTCCTGGGCGCTGTTTTACGGTGTGCTCCTCATGAGGTTGCTTTCAGGTTTATGTTTCATGTTTTATATAACCTCAAGGCGTTCCTCAAGCTTCATCAGGTTCACCACCGGGGTCCGTGTTCGCTCGGCGGAAGGTATTGTAGTCCCTTGTGTCTCAGTTCTCAGAGCTTCGGTTCCATGGCTTCATGGGGTCGGGATCCCCGGTGCGGAGCGCAGGGTGCCCATTTGGTTTGGAGTTTAGTGGTTTCCAACGTAGGGGTGCTGAAACTCTAGTTTAATTGCAACGCAAGAATTTCGACGCTTCCATCCAGGAGGGTACGCCCACGGTCTGGACGGCCGAAGGCTTAGAGAAGCAGCACGACTCTTGGCTGAGCGGTGGGTTTGATTTCGAGTTTAGGGTTTAAAGTTCAGCGCAGCCCCTGCTCAAGAAAGGGTTTAGGGTTTAGGGTACCCTAAACCCTAAACCCTAGTTTAAAAAAGGGTTTAAAGTTTTGGGGCTTGGGGTTCAAGCTTCAAGGCGAAGAGTTGTTGTCGATCTTGTGAGATTGTACATCAGGATGACGCCAGCCTGCAGCCTGAATATGGGGAAACGAAGCACAGTGTCTGGATAATTAATAATAGTATCCCCCTTGCGGCCTGACAGTCCCCCATGTAGGTTTACAGTTATAACACCGTTCAGGCAGTTCAGTGTAATCGACCCCAACCCCACATGGTACATGGTACATGCAGACAAGTTCAAGCAGCATCTTCCGAGAATGCTCATCGTGCGCAGGGTCCTGGCATCTGATGATCACCTGATACCAACGGACCTTCAGCAGCCAACGTGTAGTATAACCAAGAAGCTAAGTACTCACGATTGGCCATTTGGAGCTTTGGGACTATGCTTGGACCTGCCCATGGCTAATTGAGAGTGCGTATCAAGAGCCCCCCACTAGAAACCTGAGGAGGAATCCCAAGACACGACCCTAAGCTAAGTCCACAAATCCTAGGCCTCTAAGCCCCTAAATTGCCTAAATCCTCCCTAACCCCTATTGCAGCTCAGGAGGAGTCGCAAGAGTGGGATAAAGGGCCTATCCAAGAGTTCTGTGAGAACTTGGCCAACAAACGGCTGCTCGTCGGCCATGGTATCGGTCAGCTTGACGGAATGAGGGGACTGCAGCAGGTTCTTGGAAGGGTCTCAGTTCTTGGGGGGTTGGGAACTTTATACAGCTCAACGAGAATATCAAGTGGTACCCCTGTAGCGATGAGCGGGGATGCAAAAGGGAAGGAGGTGCAGGATTCAAGAAAGAGTTCGGAGTTGAGCGTGACGAGCCCTGAAAAGCCAGAGATAGGTACGAGGGGGTTCATATGTGTTTGTGCGTTTGCACTGTACACTGCCCCTAACACTTATAGAGGCTCCAACAGCTTTAGCCGCAAGTGTCAGGTGACAGGTGCTCTCTCGCAAGTCGGAGTTTCCCATCACAGTCTTAGTTCCCGCGACATGTTTGCGGCTGCTAGGGCTCAAGACTTCGCACCCACGAGTGGTCGTCTCAAATTGGGCCACTGTTGAACTACCCGAGGTGGCCTTGACATCGGTTTACCCCGAAGCCTCAGAAGTAGGTAGTATTAGTAGGGGTACCCCTTAAAGGGTACCCCTTCTGAACCCTACTTTTGGCTCTCTTAAAAGGGACCTTATTGAGAGGGTCTACATCCCCAAGGATCTCCCTAATCCTAGCTCCCAAGAAGTTGGTACGCCGGTTCCTTCGTGATCTCTCGGCTGGCAGACCCGTTCACTCAGGTCGTGGACGGGCACATATGTCTTCTTCACGGCTTATGCCCTGTTCGCCATCGACATCGACGCGATGGCAGGGGATAAGTTTCTCGTCTTACGATCCCGTTGAGTCTCTGGAAGTTGTAGGTTACGATCCCATTGAGTCTCTGGAAGTTGTAGGTTTGCCTGCTGTATAATCATGTACCTAATGATTTCGTCAATGTTATATATATATACACAGAACAGTCACTACACACATGTATATATATATATATATACACACACCTCTTGTCGTAGTGTTCTTCGCCTCACAAGTACCGTACTCGTAGCACACTCCCCAATTACCACCCTGCTGACTTCGTCCTTGTCAAGCGAAAAAGTAACACGTATCTAATCACCCGGACCCGAGGCCCCTAAACCCCCCCAAGCTGTGTATTTGGGTAGTTCTCTAAATTAGGGTCCCTTTTTAGGTTCCCAATATAGTACGGCACCCTTATTAAACGGACCCTAAAAGGGACCCTCATTTAGAAAACTAATTACCCATTTTCATTTGCAGAAGTTCAGGTCGTCGCGGATAGGCGTGGCCATTTGTACTACGCTGGTTGCCATCGCCTTCCTTTTCGAGCTTGTCGTGCGCCTTGCTGCCGGCTTGGGCTTTCAATGTAGACCCCTGATTCTTGATGCTTCCTTTCTTGAAAGGGCCCTAATCTCAGTCTTACCAACGTCCTTGTCAAGGAGAGGGGCCGCGGTTAAGCAGGGTCGATATTGATTCGTCAAGGATGTCTGAAGGCTCCCTTGTTCACTTCATGCGGGAAGTCTAATCAACCTTGGACCATTCTGGTTGCAGGAATGGCGTTGGAGACGGGCCACTTTCCACCTCGTAGGGCAACTCTTGGAAACTAACTGAGTAACAGTCCGTGTGACAGATGCTGGGTTTCAAGGTTCGAAACCGTAAGCACTAAGCCGATGGGTTCAGACACGCAGCAGGCCACCCAAAAACTGACGTTGGTCCTGTGCCCTGCTATCTTCGGATGCCCGCGACAGAAATGGTACACACTCATGAAGGTGTTTGGGCATCTAGGATTGTACACATACTCTTTGATGCGGTTCGTCTTTTTTGGCTTATCCTGGTTAATGGTCAGGTGTTAGAAGAATAGAACCACAAGGTCCAAGGCAAGCATGCAGAGCTACAAAACCCTTAACCTAGCCACAAGTCCTCTCAGCAAGCCCATGTAACCGGGTTATACGACTTGCGGGGTCACAAGTGGCAGTCAACATTTGTGGTTTAGGGTTTTCCATGAATGTTAAGCTGCCTAGCCTTACCTGCTTTCCGAACATTCACTTTCTCTGGCACAGCGTCCTGGAAGATTCCTACAGCCATTCACACCAGTAAATCCTCAGACACCTTTACCCTGTACCGTCTTCAGCAGGCTCTAACTCTAAACCTGAATTAAAGGCCAGTTTGCATCCAATCACATGTGCCCCAGGCATTGCATCGGCAAGAAGGGGTACATGACCAGCGCTTTCTTCATGCTGGATCTTGTTGCTTTCATCTCCCTCATACCAGCGACCCGGCTGCGACTTCAGGAAGGACGGATTCATGGCGTTCATGGGTGGTTGTCAAAATTCTGGTCCCTTTTTGGGTCCTTATTATAATACGGCACCTATTATTTAGGGTACCCCAAAAGGGACCATAATTTTGACAACTAGCCACATGTCCATCACAGAGGTTTCTTCAGAGGTGTCGAATCGCTTGCTCTCCTTGCTGTGGGTTAGGGGAGTGTGTGTTTGGCTAGTCGTCCTGTTGGGTTGTCGAGGCGTTGAGGGTTCGGTAAATAAGCATGTATCTATGTATGTATGCACATATATATATATATATAATATATATATATATATAATACATATATATATACTATATATATATATATATATATTGTAATACATATATATATATATATATACTATATATATATATATTATAATACATA